AGAAAGTAGGTCTTCCTGAAGAATTCCCTAACTCTTGGAAACCTGCTGAAAACAAGAGGAAGAGGAAAGCTAACACTGGACTTTCCACAAAACAAGGCCAGTGGAAATCGGGCTCGTTCTCCCATGCTGAGAACAGCTCGTTTCCAAAGACCACTTCTTTTTTATTGTTGCGTTGACCACGAGCACGGTAGATTGTGCATAAATAGGCAAGGGTTTGCAGGTTCCACTGAGACGAATCCATGTTCTGGACAATGCGATTGTACTTCAGTGGAGACTCAACCTCCTCCATCTCGGTGTCGCTGTTGTTGTTGACGATTGGAGGGTCCAAATTGTTGGATTCCTTTTTTGATCGAATTTCGGCAGTTTCGGCTCGGCTTTTTTGCAAAAAACTGATGCGACCCTGAGTAAGAGCGGTAGAATTAACAGGTTTAGCAGCGATTGCCACTTTCTTGTTGTTCTTAGACTTTCCCATTGTCAGTTTTGATGCAAAAAGGAGGAGCGAGTTTCGTTTCGCTACAGAAAAATCGTGTAGGCGAAGTACCAAAAGTGATGTTTTGAGGACCTGGATATGCGTGTTGTTTTTGTATTTTTGTTTTTTCGGAATATTCAATTGAGAGTCAGGGATACTTGTATTGGCCAACACTGACTTCTTATTATCTCCATAGATAAAGGACGGGCCAAGTACAGGAATCCCCATCATCCTCAGCTTGTATCGCAAGCCACGAAGATATTCACAGCACAACTTCATTGTACAGAATTCACTTCCAAAGCTGCTAGACTCAACTGCAGTCTGCTTCTTTGCCATCCAGTACACCAATGCACCATTTACCCACACAAAGAAACCAGTTCGAGAACGTCTTGTAGTTGTGTCAGAGGCATGGTCAGCATCCACTTTGGCAGTTGTAACAAATCCAATGCCTTTTGGTTCTGGCTGGTTTGGAGGCAGCTCTTCCTTCAAGTTGTCTATGTGGCCAAATTCGCTGGTTGACCAATCCTTCCTTTCAAATCCGGCAGCATCGATCACAGGAAAGGTTGGATCAAGCACCAACTCAGCGTTGTGATGAGATTTCAAATAAGAGAAAATGCTCAGCACTTGATGCAAATGTCCTACTCTTGGCATAGCCAGTTGCGAAGACATCAAAGAACATTCAAGGCAGATATCAACTCTTCCAAGCTCAACAATCCATCGTAGGACTCCGATCAGCGACTGATAATATGAGGCATCAGACGGCTCCAATTCTGGGCTCACGTCAAGCTCAGGCCGGTAGGAGGTCTGCATCGGCGTCATTGCCTTGGGCTTCAGTTTAAATCGCTCATCTCCTGCCTTGCAACGGTCATTGAGGTATCTCTCCACATTCTTGACAGCGGCTTGGACATACTGGGAGGATCCAAATGCCCAGCATTGAACACCAGTATCCAACTCAACCTTTCGTACATTACTGCCAAGATAGATTTTCGGAGGGCCAATGCTCTCCTCTTTCAGCTCAAAATACTTCCCAAGTTCCTTTCGGAGAACCCTTTCCGGATTCATAGAGACACACAGCGCATCATCGGTGCATAGGAGGACATATTCCCAATATTCGGAGCCATCATCCTTCATAGCAGGACGCATCCAAACATCAGGATCAGCAGGGCACGACAGGAAATCCAGATGATGCATACAAGCTCTGAGATGGTTCCTGAAATCCCGTCCTGCGGTCTTTCCGCCATACAATGCACGATGAATCAAGGCAACCTTTCCAACATTCTCCAATCCAAATTCAGGGCCACAAATGATATAGTCCTTTCTGGATGAGGGTGCTTGAAGGTAAGCATTTCGGATATCGGCAGCAAAAACGTCCAGGTTATTCAGGGCAGCATAGGTAAAGGCAATTCTGACACTCTCACGTGATACCACTCCTGCATACTGAGAATACAGGGGATCAGGTGTTTTGTGACCATCAAGTACCCATCGGGCTTTGCGAGTGAAATCCATCTTCACATCCCATACTAGATGACCGGTGACCTTTGAATATCCAGGAGGTGCTAGCACTCCATAGGCCAGCACTTCAACCGCAACACCAATATTGGACATTTCCTTAGATAATGCTTTCATCCACAAGTTGTTACCATTTTGGGCGTCAAGTCTCTTTGCATGCTCTACACTTGTTGGTATTTCAATACCGTACTTGTGCGTAGTCTTTCTGACACGGGCCTTAACAGCAGAGATGATCATGTCTCGCTTTCTGAGTGTATAAGGTACCCACCAGCGGAATGCAGGTTCCTAATCAATATGATTCGCTTTGGCAAATTCAGCAACATCAACAGGATTTGATTCCTTCAAGACGCTCACGTCAATCCAAGACTGTGTCCCATCGTTCCATAGGACCATTAGTTTCCATCCTTTGGTGGTCTTTCGGGTTCGCCTCTGTCCATTCTTGCTCATGACATAAGACTTCTCCTCTGAGACAGTCACCTTTGGATCTTTCTTGTAGTCAACAATGGCTTTGAACATCGTGTTTGAGTAACCATCGTCATCCACCTGCGTGAGAAGGTTTTCAGCAATGGTAGTTGCTCCATAATCCCTGACCCTCCCATCGTCGAATTCAACCTCATACATGATGGTATTCAGCGCTGGATTGGGATCGTAGGTTCCCATCTGTTTTCCTTCAGGAGTTGTGACTCGTTGTTTGACTTTTCCAATGGAAATTCGTTCACCATCCGTGTGCATCTTGATTTCAGCATTTAGGAGCAGATCATACACCGGCTGCTGATTGATGAGACGTCCATGAATGTCAACATAGTCTTCATTGTCAGGTATTGGTTTTGAAAATTCATCGTCATCTTGGTAGGTAGCCCACTCATCTTCCTCCTCCTCCTCTGGAAGAGGTACATTCTTTCGTTGACGACCAAGTGTGTTGCCAAAGCGGGCTTCAATTAACTTGTCAAAAGCATCGCGCTTCTTGAGTTCCATGTCAGAATGAAGCTCTCCAGAGGTGAGAGGGCGAACTGTTCGTCGTGAGACAACTTTACCATTCGGTTTCAAAACCCATTGACACATTTTGTTGCCCTCGCCTGTTGCAGGCCCAAGGCAACGTCCAAGTACTTCCTTATTTGAGGGGAAGCCAGCCTCGTTGTCCATCGCATAGCACCATTCATAATAATCAAACTGAGCAACATTGGAGATATCGCCAGCCTGGCCAGTGATAGTTTCCTCCGGAACCTTTCCATGCAATTGAAAGAGATTCTTTGCAGTTAGGTTGTTGATGGTTGCACGACGTTCAAGACAATAATCCCAGAAAACCAAGGGGCAGTTGGAGGTTCGCATATCACGACGGACTGCCGCCTTTATCAGTCCAACATAGAGTTCAGCACGGTTTGTCCACGGTGTTCCCTGCTCTAGGACGCAAAGTGTGGTCCCAATGCTGTGCATAAATTCTCTGAGTTCCTTAGATGTTTGTTCACCAGCAGCGTCACAGATAATCACGTCAGGAGCTCCAAATTCCTTTGCAAATTGTTTCACCGCTGAAAGCACATCTTTCTTGCTGCGCATAGGCACAACATACACATAGCCCTTATCAGTCACAAAGAGCTGGCAACAGGTGTTGCCTCTGGTAGATCGACCACCATTCTTAGCAGCAAAGAATGTGTCCATGAAGAAGTATTGATTAATCCTCTTGTATGGTAGCATTCGATCATTTGTTCCATAGCTGCGGGCCATCTTTGGATTGTCAGTATGGCGTCGCTTTTGTGTGGTTGCTTGCAAGGTTTGTTCTGCTGTCGGGAGATCTAATTTCCATATTTTTGCAAGGTGAGCAGCTTGGACTCCCTTTGACGGTTTGGCGTACGTTGCAGAGGCCATTACTTCATCAAGATCAACTCGCTTCCTGTCAGCCATAGCTGCAATCTTGGTGAATAAATCATCTCCACTCAACATCTCTTCAAAGTCCAGTTCACTGTCCATGTCCTCAAACAGAAAATCAGTGTCATCTTCATGGGCGTGTGTTGATCCCAATGACGTCATCATAGACAAAACTTCACGACGAGTGGAGAGATGGTGACTCAATGTGCGCTCACAGAAAATACTTGAGATAGAGGCAAGGTCGACATTGAAAGGTTGTCCCAATAGGCCTTCATCAGCATCCCTCTCCTCTAGAACGGACTCATCAACAAGAGTCTGTTCTTCCATTCTCATATTCGACATTGCACACACAGTCATCGTGGGATCATCTTCAATATCTGAAATCAAAAGCTTGGAACAGTTCTGAGCATCAGCGACTTCGCCATCATAATTGACAAGATGATCTTCAGTCTGCGCATAGGAAGATTTGTGTGGATCAAACTCCTCTGGTGTCAACATGTAGACGTGATTAGGATCAACATCATTGAGCTGTTCAACTGTAGGTTTCCTCGTGACAAAGTAAGAGAAGGTACCATGCAGCTTCATTGGGATGCGTAGATGCTCGTCAAACTTGATTGCATGATCATCAGAAGAGGGATCGGCCAAATGGATCTTTGGCGTATCGTTCACTTGGATTCCGTTTTCTCGCAGAATAAATGGAGGAATCAGGTTGTGGGTCATAGAAGGTACATGTAGAGCATTTCGGATCACAAGTATATATTCCTGCCCAGTGACTTGATCCCATACAGTAGGGCAGCATCAACGATTGGGATACTCTTTGCAGCATATTCAGGATTGTAGGGATTGACAGAAGCAGTCCGTCCAGTATCACTCAGAACAAAACAATTTGATCCAACAACAATCATATTGGCGTGGGAGTCAAGTTCTGATCTAGAATCCATTGGGTGCTCAACATTGGTAGCATCAATTCGTAGTGCAGCCGCGATTGTCACAAAGAATGACGGGGACACTGGAATGGTTGTGTCATCCATCGTCTTCCAGGGTGGGTCCGGCTCCAGAGTCCAATGCATCGCAGAAATAACTTTGGGCTCTGCCGGGACCAGTCAATCTTTCTTCCCAAGAATCTTGGCAAGAACAATAGCATTGACATCAGCAGATGCAGAAGGAGCAGGCACCTTTCCAGAGGCATTGACGGTTTTGGGTGCGCTGACAAGAGTATCATGGAGACCTTTCTTCTTGTCTTCCTCATCAGTGTACTGCTTGACACGTCATTTCAGCTCCTTTTCAAAAGCAGCAGCCGATATTTTTCCTTCTTTCTTTGAAGACGAGTTTCCACAATGAGCTTTAGCCTTTGCAGCTCTATCTCTTGCCGTTGCAGCCTTCCCTTCAGGTGTCAAACGCCAAGCTTTCAACTCAGCTCTTTGCTCTGCAGGGAGCTTATCCAACTCCTTTTTCTTGTAGAAACGGAGATGAACGCCAGTCTTTCCAATTCCAGATCGCAGAGACGCAATCTCAATGGTTTGGTTGGCTGATTCATCAATGGTAACAGTAGTATCTGAGATTTGTGCGTGACTGCGCTTGTTCTTCTTGGCAACCGGGTCGGCAAGTTGGAGCAATCGTGCACATTCTTCAAAAGAATATCTTGGTCCATTGGGATCTTCGTTGCCCTCAATGTTGGCAATAGTCGCATGGAGCCCAGGATCGGTTGTGTGGAGCGCCCGAAGGAGGTATCCAATCCTTGTATGCTCATTTGGGATCTGGTATTCCACATGTTGAGATGCAGTAAGGAGCGCCTGGTGGGCATTGCAATGTCCTCCGATGAATCGTTCCAAGGGAAAAGTTCCGTTTCCCTTCCACTTTTGAACAGTAATGAAATCAGTGTTCTTTTCAATTTCTTTAGACCACTTCTCTTTACCAAGATATTGAGCAACAATGGCAAAGAAGGCACCTCTTCCATCTCTTGTCTGCTCAAATGGGGTGAGAGACAAAGCATAAGTCGTCCCGCGTAGCGCTTCTTCCAGCTTGGCAAATACTCGTGCATTATCCTGGTGAAACCTAGGGTGAGTATGGGATGCTCTAGCAGTAAATTCGGCAACAAGCGATCCATGTTCAATAGAATATGGTCGATCCGGAGCAAGTCAGCGTCTTCTCTCAAGACATTTCCAAGAGGAAAACCTCTCACACCATAGCTCTCATGGATGATAGATCTAAAGGCAGCAAGCCATTTCATGATGGGCAAAGCTTTGCTGACACATGGTACCTTTGGATCCTCCCGCTCTTGAGCAATCTTGAGTGCTTCACGCTCCTCTTGATACATGATGAGTGTATTTGTCCATCTCATACATGCTGCAGTGAGTGCTCTGCCAGTAGCAAGGTAAAATCGGACAGCAGAGGCAGCGGCCTTGAGGCGCGAAAGAGACAGGGCACTGAAGACAACATTTGGAGGGCCATGTCTTGTGATGTGCTTGTGAATATCATCAAGCATGCCGTCATTGAACTCCTTGAGCGAATCTATTGTTGTGATGCCTTGCTGATTCAGATGGGGAGCGAAAATTCCTGGTGGGATTGCCATCTGATCATCATGGGTGAAGAAAGCAGTGTTTTGGGCATTTGTGATGACCATTCTGGGTAGTCAATAGACAGTGGGAACTGATAAACTGTTTTGATGTTGGGTGATGACAAAGGAAAAGACGTAAAACCTTGTTGTCTGAAAATTAATTGAATTGTGTGCGAAAACGTGCACGTAAACGATCGCTAGCATCGCCAACGTTCACCAACGTTCAATTTGGCGTACTAACCGTCGTTCCGTCTGTCTGCCTGACGTTAGAACAGGTGGCAGTACGGAAATATAAAAAATTGGATGATTTGAAAGAATACGATTTTCCCACCGCTTTTTTATATTGAATATTCGGCGCATGATTGAATACCTTATTCCACCCACTCAAAAGATATTCTTGGAGATTTTCCTGATGCACACAACAGATCGTTACTACCAGAAATGAATGATACCGGAGGTGATGTGTTGCCAACAGAGATTTATTTTTCATTTTAATAATCTTGTCGTGAAGGTTTTATTGGACCTTCCACTTGGCAATACTACAAGACACAACCATCGGACGCATTGCACCTTGTTCGAGAATTTGCAATGATGAGCTTAGTATATGTTCGCCTCCAGGAAGAAAGGCAACCTGATCGAGGTTGTAGGAGCCCGAAAGGCGATAGTGGCCATGGTACTGTATGCCGTTCCATCATTCTCGCTTGCTATTTTAGCTCGGGAACATGAATTCGGGACGAAACTGACGTTTCATTTGCATTCCTGCCGGACTACTTTTATTATCCGCTGATGTTGTCGTTAAGCGATCGCAAAGCCCCTCGCGCAATTCTTTCCACATGATGTTTCTCCACTTGGGTTCCTTCCATAGCATCGATGGCAAGTTTGGTTTGGCATACTTGTTGCACACGGAATCCGGAAAGTGCAAATGATTCGTGCAGTATTGTTTGTACATCTCATAAAGTTCTGAGCCGTTGTCAACCTGTACTTCGTTGGATGCACCCATCGCCGTTGCCAGCAATTTCCCCACAACATTGCGATCGAACCAAAATTCTTGGTCCAACTCAAAGGTCCCAACAACAATTGCCTGTGGTTTGTAATCATAATTCAAGTGCATCCATTTGCGTGCATGCAAAAATACTTCCCAAGCGCCATCATCTTCGTTAGCATCCATGTAGAGCCCCGAACTCGCCACAAAGGGGTCATCCGGACGGGTTCGGACCGGATGCTTTTCTCCCGGTATTTGGAACCACCATTGTAGGATGCGGCCCGCCCGCAAATGGCCTTTGGGATCGGCCCCACCCAATGTCATTTCCCATCGAATTACTTTGGATTCATCGTAAACTAACTCTTGCAAGGTACGCTTCAACATTTCTTCAAAGGCAATATAATTCGGAATTGGTTGATTTACTTCTTGAAAGCAAGGTTTGCTCATCTCAATTTCATCGCCTCCCAAATGCAGATACGGTGGTTGATCAAAGATGTCTAGGACTTCGGAAAGAACATCCTTCAAGATTTGCGGCAGTTGTGGATGATTCACATTGAGCGGGAGGCCATATCCTTTTTGGCAAATAAAGTTCGGACAAGGAACTACCAAACCAGGAATTCCTGCCCAAGCCCCCGCATGTCCAGGAATATTGATTTCAGGAATCATGGCAATGTTGCGTTCCCTGGCGTATTTGACGAGATTTCGCAAATCGTCTGGTTGATACACTTTTGTTTGGTTGTGATACGGGGTAGGAATTGCGAGCTGTGGCCAACTCTTGAGCTGTAGATTAAAAGTCTGATCATCAGTCAGTCGAAAATGGACCCAGTTGTACTGGAGTAGATGCAGCAAGTCCATGAGATGATACAACCAATCCAGCTCAAAATAATGACGACCCGCGTCGATGAGGACTCCCAAGTACGGCGTGGATCGCGTAAAATTCAAAGACCGTTGGATGCTGGTTTTAAACGTAGAATTGTTGTCGTTGTTGCTGTAGCTGTTGTTGCCATCCAATGCTAGTAGTCCCGTCCAATAGTCATTTGGTTCTTCTCGCAAGCTTTGTTGCATGAAATTTTCAGGAGGCGCATACTTGCTGCGGCGCCAGTTGAATTCCATGTGGCTTTGTGCTCTTGGCGCACTATGACCCCTCGGCCTCCGATGCAACGTGTTGTCTATACGAGCCCTGGTGGGATTGCGGAGAGCTGCGCCTGGTCGTTGTTTGTTATTTCCGGAAGCGGCATCAGCATCAGCATCACCAGCGTTCGCAGTAGCAGAAATGGGAGCGGGTGGGATTTGGACATTGTTCGTTTGCCGTTGTTGCTGCTTTCGAAGATCTTCTATTCTTCGTTCCTTTCCCTTTGTTTGTGGTTGTTGCGAGTCGCGATCATGATGATGATGATGTTGATTATAATTATGTTGTTGTTGTTGTTGTTGATGATATCCTGGATATTGCCGAAGGAAAATCAAATTCAACCACAACAATAGCAACGCCAGAGCTCCAAAAATGCAAGTTTCGAATTTGCGACGATTGCATTTTTTCATCTTGCACTCGAAAAAGTTATTGTTGTCGCCAGGAGAAGTCTTGGAATTCAACTTTGGTCTCCGTGGGGTGGAACGCCGGGGACTTTTGTTGTTGTTGAAACCACCGTTGCTAGCACTCCGATCGTAAGTGGTAGTTGTAGTGGTAGTTGTAGTTGTAGGAATATTTGTGGTTAGAGATACTGCGTTTGGTCTACTCTCCAACATTCTTGCCACTTGGTACGCTCATTTGGTTCGTGTGTTTAAAAAATATTATTGTGGGATCGTTAAATTGAGTAGCGAGGTACGAGAGATTTGGGACGAAAACGAGTACGATGACAAACATGGGGATTTTACAAGATGTGTGCGAATCTCTAGGTTAAACTATCTAACGTACGAATGACGGACAC